TCATACAGTGTATTGTAATCCTCAGTTCCGACAATGAGACTTCCATGGCCCAATTTTTTAAGATTCCGATTCTCTGCTTTGTCTAATGGCTATTTTTGTCTCCCATTCAGACCTACTGAATAAATTCATCATAATAACCATCAAAATGCCAGCAAGTTACAGCGACTTAGATCACAACTTCTCGACAAATGATTTCATTGAGACAGTTAATGACAAACGGGGCACAGTCTTGGTGCCATTGCTGTCATACAAACTATTTGAATGCCCTTTGTTGTCAACTTTGCCTCATACTCCTGTCATCTGTCCCGTCTACAAGCACTACTTGCTATTCTCACTTAATAAATATTGAGTGCCAACTCACTAGGTTTTATTTTTTTTACAAGAAATATTTTATTACTCATGTATATATATAGCCTATGGGGGGATAACGCTATGTCAAATTCAATGCCATTGTGTGGCCTACTAATATAACTGCAGTAGAACTCAATTTTTAGTCATTTATTCACCTTAACTGGCATGGGGTGACTAGATTTTTACTCAACAAACAAAATACCTCATCAAAAACAGGCTTTCATTAAGCCATACACAATTTTTATGCTGTGTTTTATTGCATTATCAGCCTACATTCAAGCCACCTGCATCGTCATAAGCATGGTGGTGCCAGTTCTGTGGGTGGCAAACGGAATTAATTCACATTGCATGTAGCTTATACTTAAAAAATATAACTTAATGAAATATTATCACTTACGGCAATTGCAGAGAAGATAAGTAATAAGAATTTGCGAGATTGAGAGACACTACTTCTATTTTGTTTAATACATACAGGACATATGATATGAAGTATGCGTCATAATTTGTGACAACGGTGTTAGTGTATGTTATCTGATATGTTTGGTAATTCGAGATGCAATATAACGAGGTATATATGCATATATATAAATTTGTTTTTTCCATTTATATTATTAAGTTCATTTTATTGAAATTCATTTTAAAATTAAACGAAATTGTGAAACCTTATCTTGACATATGCGCCCTCAAGAAGTTGGCTTGCACACATTTCCCCCAACGAGGAAGGTTCTCCTTAACTTGGAGAACTCACCAACAAAATTTAGGCCTAGCCTTGGGTGCCATAATCAGGCACTTGATTGCTGTAAATGTATACCATTTTCGACTCATTTTCTCATTCGACTAATAGAAAATCTGCCCACGGCGAGTCGTCGACAATAAGGTGTGTGTTTTTAACATTGAATTTCACTTTACCAATTATTACAGACAAATCCCATCTACATCCTTGCTCCACCAACTTATCAGCAGCTATGTTTATATTTTCCTGGTTTTTTGAACTCGCCATATGCAAAACACACATTGGTCTTGCTCGAACCTAAATGCCATGTGGCACAACTTAACAAGTATTAAGCTTGCCTCTTAACCCACATATCTATGGATAGTAGATCCCTAGAGCTGCTGATGGACTGATGTTCTGAGGTCACGACTTTTTTGGATGTCTACCTAATTGAGCCTAATGTTCAAAAGTATGAATTTCCTTAAAATTGTAATTGTCAGAATTATGAATAGTTAAAGGCGGATAAATAACACTCTGAACTGGAGTACTTAAACAAAATGAAAGCGCCTGATAACTATGGAATGAAACTTTTCTTGCCCTACAAGTTCATTCTGCTTGCTCATATGCGGATAAGAAATTACACAATATAAATATATATAATTGAAGAGAGCCTTTATTTAGTCAAAATTTTACGCAGTAGTTACTGTTGAAATGTATGAAAGTATAAAGCTAGTTTTAGTGCAATATTTTAAATCATAGCTCAGTGTAGACCATATATACTTATTCTAACCTGGATAAGGGGCTATCATATGATTGAACTTCGAAAATAGCGCATTATGCAACTAACTGAAAGTCCTTGATCCTCATAACACATTGAATAAAAGGGCCTCGCATGGATATTTTCAATACTAATCTTGAAGCTACACAAAAGCAAACAAACATAACTTTGGTGACTAAATCGGACAATGGGAAATTAAAAGATAAGCAATATGTTCTAAAACTTAAAATACACCTTTTGCCGTGAAAGGATAAAAAAATTATGGCAAGGAAAGAATTTGCAATATAAACTCAATACATTATAGAAATGGTAAAAATTATTTATGGAGAAAATACTTATATTTTGTGATCATGAAGCACACTTAATTTTTTTAATTTTTAAATTAGCTAATAAAGCTATATCCAGACATTTAATATCATCAATTAATCCATAGCTTAAAACTTTTAAACCTTTCATACTCCCACATATGGGAGTGTACAATACCACAACATTCCCTATAATGACCAACAACCCCATCGGTCATATCACAAGTCAACCAAACACTAGTTACTCTAACACTTCTAGTATTATTGTACAAATAAGCGGCCCTAAATCATCAGCTCTTCATATATCGAATGAATATCTCTTTTTACCATCCAATTAAAAAGAGGGATCTACCGTTGTTAACACACAATAAATGGAATAAGATATACTTTATAGGATAAATACCAATGCTATCCTATTACTCCAACACTATCCATCTAACCTTAAATGCCTCCAACATATTTTATATCACGGCCCATTATTGGAAAACAAAAAAAATATTCTTAATTAGCAGAAACTACCCGTATAAATGTTATATTCAGTCCACGAATAATAAAAGTGCATGAAACACATGGATAAAATCATCATAAAATTATTAAACTTTTTTTTGAAAATTAAAACTACTTAATTAGAATGAGTGCAAAATAGATAAACACCGAGAGCCATATTCTTCTAACCAAATAATACCTTGTGGCTTCCACATTGTTATTAATAAAATTTTAAATACCTATTTTGAAAATTATGCGTATAATAACACTTAATCAAGCCGACTATTGGCATTTTGAAAAAAAAATTTATCACTATACAACAACTCATCAAAGAGACAAGAGACAAGAGACTCTTAGACGAGTTGTTGTATGGTGCTAAGAATGTCTGGTAATGTACCACGTCCACGGTCCGACTTTGGAAATGATGATGCATACAATGGACTTAGAACAAGTTGCGTTTCTCTAAGTCTTCCTACCAATATGACCATGTTGCTAAAATAAGGTCAAATAGCTTATAAAAATAAATTTATCTAGCAAAGTCAAAAATAGACTTTCTAAACTTTAGGTTTTTAATTTTAATTGAAATGTCTAATAAGTACACATTCGCCTAGAAAGATGGTGTAAGTTGTTAATTCTTTTCAGGTAATAATGTTGCGAAACAAATAAAGTTATGTATAAAAGAGTATCCGCCACGTTATTCTCTCTAACCATATTCATGCTGTTCCAACTAAAATTTACTAAATAAATCTTATGTTTCAAAATTAATAGATTTCATAAAATAAAATGACCACCACCAGTCTCAGCTCAACTTATGAAAGTACTCACAGGTCGTCCGAGGGAACGAATAAACAAAACAAGAGAAATAAAAATGCCATAGATTACATTTTACCACAACAATATGAGTAGACCGAGATTGGATTCCAGTTCGGATTGCAGACCAGTCCAGCCGAGATGAGAACAGCTTTTGGAAGACGAGGCCTGTTTATAACGGTACGGAGAATTTAGCAAACGGTACATTAGCAAATTATTAGAATTCAGATGACCAGCTCGCTTGTTCATAATTTTTCATAGTACAAAAACATAACTGCATTGAATACAGCTATGTTGACACTATTTAAGCTATTATGCCAACTCTGGAATTAAAATGAGTATATCAGTTGTGTTCATCCTATTTCTTTTATAAAGATGAAAGACTGGTAGTTGAATTTTCCCACAATAATATGAGACGAACTGGCGCTTCCTTGCTTTACCAAAAGAGCTCGTCTAGGTCTAATCAACAACCATAGCGAGAGTGGAACTTTGATAGTGCAGTGTGTAATCTCACACTTTAGCTACTACACAACATTGCCACGAGTGCCCTTGGGTCGCGAGGCAGATGCGAATCCCGAAAACCTACTTAATAACGAAATAAGTCATATAATGCTTTATCCAGTACTTTCGACATGTTAGCCCCCCTCCCAAACTGACTTTACTGCCTTTTTGTGAGAAAGCAGATGAATTTTGCCATTAAACTCATCACGTTACTCATATTCATAGTAAGTAGTCTTCAAAAAATAAAAACTTATCCGACCTTTTCCCTGTATCCCCAAGGTGATGGCTGAAGAAGTCAGATCACCAAGCATCCGGACAATGAAGATGAAGATGAAGATGAGCGTGGATCCGGTGGTTTGAGGGCAACCTGCTCCTCTTAGGCAGCATGTGGCCGAGTGGCCTGAACTCCCGACTTTGTCCACTCTCGTCGGTACTCACTGAAGCATCTGCCGGCGTCCGACTGTCCTACAGCCATGCGGGTTCGAGCCGGCGCTCCGAGGTGGCATCACCAGACCGGCTACTCGAGTCGTCAAGCGGCCGGGAGGACAGTGCTGCCTGTCCGACGGACGTCCTGTTGGACGCTCGCGATGGTACCACATGCAGCCGGTCAACTGGCCTCTCTTCCTCTTTTTCACCCTCGCCCCTACTTCACTCTTCGTCTTCATCCCTTCAGAATACTCTGATTTACTTTCCCTCCTCCTTCTCGATGAAATGTCCCATCGCCCAAACGTCTCCACGTCGATCGCAAACCCTCTTTCTGCTCGACAGTCTACAGAGTCTGTCGTTCGCCGGTCTGTCCGACCGTCGTCATAACAACAAGAGGCTCAACGAGCCGTCAGAGCCCGACAGTCCCAGTCGGACCGGAGCCTCGGAGAGACTGTCCCATCTGACCAGACCTTGGACTCGGCTCTGGCGTGTCTCCGAGGCTCGTGGACTCTGCCGCGTGGACAAAGCAAAGAAAACGCAGATTGCTGATGCCTCGGGGACAAAGTTCGACTTCACTCCGACCGGCTGTGGGGCTGGATACCTGTTTGGACCCGGAGCAGGCGGATTTGTTGCCAACGACTGGCGGATTCGAATGTTGGCCGTCTCCCTGGCGCTGGCCACCATCATTATTTGCGCATATGGACTGTTGTTTTTCAGCTCTTCGCTTTCCCTCTACTTTTCGCCCTTTTCTTCCTCTTCCTCTTCCTCTTCCTCCTCCTCCTCACCTCTTCTCTCCCACTCCACTTCACCTGCAAACTCATTCCACTCTCCTCAATCGAATTCCACCTTGCCGTCGTCACCTCCAAAAGTTGGAATGTCTCCGAGGCCGGGTTCGCTGATTTGGTGGTCGCGAGGGCAACAGTCACTGGCGGCAGACGAGTCGACGACCGGCCTTGACGACGCAACCAAGGTCTGGCAACTGGCGGCCTCGAGGCGACATTTGATGCCCGAGCGTCAGGCAGAAAGAGGTCTGAGTGCACGTATCTCTCAGACCCCCATGGCCGGTCAGCCGAGAGACCAGAATTGGCCGAGCGAGGCTAGCTGGTCCGAGCCACGGTCGGATCTCTTACAGACGGACTCTTGGCAATCCGCAGCAAAGGTCGTTAAGACGAAAGAGCCCATTCGTCTCTGGCCTCGGCCGAACGGTGAGTATGAGAGCGAATCCCAATACGATTGTCTACAGACATTGTGATTCAACTCCACCTACGCCGGTGGTTGAATCGTCGAATGGTATTGAGAATGGCTCGACTGGGATTGCATTAAAGGCATAAGTTGAAGCGCCTCTTCAATCGGGACTTGTGTTAAATAGCTTCGATATGTTTAAGGCCAGTATTCTGTGATTCCTACAATTAAGTCAACCCTTTTCATTTACACACGGACACAATTTCCCAATCGTCTACCTTCAAATGGGTCGGTTGGGAGTTTATCTGGTTTGCGCCGAATGAAAGGTCCTCAAAAAGACCCTTTCACTAAATAAACTAGTTCATCAACCGAGTAACCATCCTCCAATACAGATGCCTTATGAGATGTGTTCACACTATTTGGTTTAAGACGATGAAGTGTGATATTTGAATTTTACCACAATCTGTTGAGTGGGTCATACATCCCCATTCAATTTCATGTAGTTTTGCTTCATAAAGGCTCTTCTGATCTAAGCGAAAGTGACCGGTACTTTTCAACTTGCCTCAACCGATCTCAACAGCATCCCCGGCGGGGCTCGAACCATGACAGGGCATGACATCACATGCCAGGCATTTTGCCATATCACATTCTGTAGTGGGATTGTCGACTAAGCAATAGACTACATTAATTATTTTTCCTTTTCAAAAAGAGTTTCAAGATTAGCCGTAACTCTCTGCGCAACGCTTAACGCGTACTGGCATGGTTTGAGTCCTGTTTGG